CTCGATCTCGGCCAAGTCGGCGGTGGACCAGTTGTGCAGCAGCTGCGCGCGTTCGCTGACGATATGGGGCAGGGTGCGAGTGAACCGGCTGTGGTCGTGCGTGTGAAAGGCGCGATGATACAGCCACAGACGGTAGATCGCGCGCCGGAGCCGGAATCGCTCCCCGTCGGAGAGCGTCCGGCGATTCTCGAAATCCAGCTTCCATTTTTTGAGAGGGTATATGGCCTCCCAATTCTGGGCCACGCACCCGATATGTATGATCTGTCGGAGAAGGGGGTCGGTCAGAGGTGCGGTGCGCGACACGTGCGCTGCCTGGCTGGTATTCTGAGTCACAATTTGGATGATATCATCTAGCGGGCCAAACTCGAGCTCCGCGACATTGTAGAGGATCTGTAGTTTATTGGATCGGTGGAAAACAGTGTGTAATCGACGGCACGTGGAGGCAAGGTTTATGACATCGGTGACACTTTCGCAGGAGCGGAATATATGGAGCAGAAGCTCCGCGGCTAGTATATTGAAGGACATGGTTCTGGACTATGGCTATCTTCATACGGCGTCAGCTCCATGTGAACATTAAGGCCGATCTCTGCATTGGAATATTGATACCTATTGTAGTATTTCTAAGAGAGTTTCGAGAGTGGTTTGTAGAAGATTAAATGACAAATGTCGCTGTCAAGGACAGGGCTGTCGTCGCTGCAGGCTCAATACCCCTGCGGCCGCTGTCGCAATAGCGATTCGGACCTAGATCGCGACCCCACCCCTGGGGATTACCAAAACAGATGAAAAACGGGCAGGGACCGTTGCCATAGCGTCAGGAACAGGACAAGCTCCAAGCAGCCACGATGGGCTGGGGAGTGAAACAGATGCCATGATTTCTGTTAAGGAGTAGTAGTTGCGGCGATGGCGATGCCGGCGAGGCGATAAGGAGAGGCGGGACGTCAGATCACTTGACACAATCGCCTTCCCCTTCACCCAATGCACTTGTACATATGAATACCAAAAGGGGGCAGGGAATGAGCTATTCGACATTCTGAAATTTGTAAGTTACATATGATGTATACGCTCCCTTATTCCCTATCTCTGGAGCAATTTGGAAATTTTCGAAAAAAGCCAATATGATAGCTCTCTACACAATGACTGCAAGTACACATATACAGAAGGATTACTAATAGCAACAGCCAGATAGAGGCAAGCCATGAAGTGCATTGTGGGTTCATCGAAATGAGCGCAAATTGAACGATAATGTCAAGTACTTTTATTATTGTCACACCAGACGCCTTGAAAGAGAACCATGAATGTACCCCCCCACATCAATACATATACATCCCTTCAGGATATCAGAGTCTAATAGGGCGTAGAAATAACAGAAGAAAGCGATGCGAAACAGAAAAGCGATTATGCGAACAGGTGCCGTGTGTCCAGAGCACCGGGCTTCTTCTCGCCGTCACCCAATCCCAGATTCGACCGCTTCGCGAAACGGTCCGTCTCCGCATCCCTGCGGTTGGCATGGCGGGCGGCCTTGCCAACGCGGATGTCACGGCGGACCTGGTTGGGGCTCACGTATTCCTTGTTCTCGTAGATGACAGGACCGCCAAAGCTGCCCTCCAGGATCACGATCGGCGTCAAGACAAAGCGAGGTCCAATCTCGACGAGAGAGATCTCCGGCTGTCCGTCCTTCTTCTTGGGAGCGGGCTTCGCGTCCTTGCCCTCCTCCTTCTTGCTCTCGCCCTCAGACTCCCGAATCTCATAGACGCGGATCCAGATCTTGCCATCCACACCAAAGACACCAATGATGCGGTCAACAAACGGCTTCATGCCCTTCACGCCACGCTTGGGAACGCAGAAGACACCGCGGATCATCTCCCTGATCAAACCCCGGTATTCGCTGCCGGGGGAGCTCATGAGCGGGCCCTGCTCGTCGAACGAGCGGTCGAAAACCACGAGACCCCGACCGCCCTTCAAGCAGTTTCCGCTGAACCCGGCATTCAGCTCGGCCATGGTGTGCAGGTTGTTGACGTGGAACTTGATGGTAGGTCCATTGGGAGGGCGCGCAAGCCAGAGGTACAAATCCTGACCCTGCTTACGAGCCTCGAGGAAGAAGATAACGTTGCAAGAATGAAGATCGGCGAGAGAGTTCAGGAGGAGGTTGTAGCCAGCGGTCTTCTTTTTCGTGTCGAGTTTGCTTTCCTTGTGAGTGTGGGGGAGAAGAGAGGCAAGGTCTGCGAGCAGGTGTCGGTGGCTAGAGAGGAAGTAAAAATCCACGGTTAGCAATCGGAGTCTTGTCCCTCAACTCCCAGGTTCAGATGTAGAAGAACGCACCGATAGGTTACACCTCTGGAGGTCAACATCAGGACGCGAGTCTTGGGCATGAACCCAGAAGCAAGCTGCTTCTTCGCCGCTTCAGTAGTGATTTCCTCGTCGTCTTCGCTGTCGCTCGAATCGTCGGCGTCAGCAAGGAGTTCCTCCATTTCGATATCCTCCTCATCGAGCTCCTGCTCCCGTGCAATGCGCTGGGCGGCTTTCTTTGAAACAGTTTTGTAGACGGACGCCATGGTGAATGCGATATGCTGTGGTTTGTGAAAGTCCGAATCTGTTGATCACCCGCAAAATTCAGAAGATGCCGGGCAGAATTATTTTTTGGTCTACACCGCCTTTGATGATCAGCATCACGTGACTACATCCACTCTCTCACCACTTTGTGGACCGCTCAAGCCTTATCTGGTTAGTCTATCTTGCGAAGCTATTCACATTCATATGCAGTGCTCTGAATTCTTTCATTGTATCATTCGGCTCCATAATCAATAAGCCGTATCTTGAGCTTGGTAATTCTCTTGTCACCCTTCACTCCTTCAATTTATGACTGCGATCATTACTCCCAATTGAATCGAGAAATAGCTAGCATCTTCTCAGTACAATCGAGGTCGATTTCAGGCTTGTTCTCTTGAACCTGAAAGCACAATAATCAAGCTTCAATGCCATCCATCGCCCTGTTTATCGGCAATCTCCGCCTCTCTCTGTAGTATTATTGTGTCTCCGCTCCATGTAATCCACACGCTTATAGCCAGGCCAAGACTGCTTCGAACATTTCCCTGTCGCCCTGCAGAACAATTGCGCCATGATGCAGATACCACGCTAGTCGGATATTCATCTCAACGTATAGAGTTCAGTGCACGATGAAGCCCTGAAAAGCCCTCTTGGGATACCTTCATTCCAGCAACTCGGTTTGCGAAGCTTAGCTTCTGCGACAAACTCCATTCATCACGCCGACAGAGAAGCGCGTACAGCATACCGGCATTGAAACTATCGCCAGCACCAATTGTACTAATCAGAGTCAGTGACCGACACGATACGCCTAGTCCAGTAGTCGTGGCGCATTCAGCCACTTGATTTCCACTTACTCCACGATACGAAAGTCTGGCGCGGTGTATGTGGGCTGATGAATCACATCTTTGGTCGCGGTACTCAGAGCTACTGCTCCATGTTCACCCCATGTGCAGCATAGAAGAGAGCTAGTGGTTGAAAGATCAGCAAATGAAGCATGGAAACGATGGTGGATCTTGGACATACGCCTTCTGTGTCAGAGACGATTGTTCTTGAACACATTGCTCAGCCGATTTATACCCATTTCCCTACGGCTGTCAGCCTCGATTCCGGCAGAGACATGAGAAGCAGGAATATGTGTACCTGAGCCCAGCTCTTCGAGTAGAAAACAACGTCGGCTTCCTCCGCGAGTTCCTGCAGCCCAGGCCGTCCTGGCTTCTCTACTTCGACGCTGATTCTGACCGAGGGGAAGTGTTGCCGCAGGTAGCGGATGCAAGACAGGGTGACGTCCGGAATCCGACCCTATAGATCATGTCATTAGTCTCAAGCAAGAAGCCCTCTAGATGGTTCGCAAACCTCGAAATGGAACCACGAAACCGTCGGGCTTAAAGTGTTGGCAATCGTGACAAATTCATCAACGGTCATCTCCGGAAGCTCGTTGTAGTTGACGATGGTCCGGCTCCCCGTCGCCTGGCTTTTAAAGATGTAACTCGAAGCAGGCTCTGTGAGCTCGTCCCGGTAGATGCAGTGATCCATGTTGACGTGCGGTTCGAATGCCGCTCGGATCTGCTGCGAAGCAGCCGATGACCTGGAGGGCAGGATTGCAACCAGGTTTAATGATAGTTGCGCGGTCGATGAGCCGTGAGCTACCAACTGCTGCAGAACCTCAAGCGTGTTGGGGCAGTTGCCCCCTCTTCGACGAGAGATATTGGAAGCACGAAGCTTTTCATCTTCTCCAGGGTAATGGGGAGTCCTGGTACATTGACGTCAGACATGATCAGGCCGTTGACCGGAAGAGAATCCAAAGCCACCCACGTTAGGATCGTGTCTAGATAGCATGCGCCTACCGCAACGAGCGACATCCTGTTGCTTGATTGTTTACTGCCGGGCATACAGAAGCTTAGATTACATTGGAAAAGCCTGATAAGTACTACACGAGCCTCGCCAGCGTTGAGAGGAGCAGCTTGACCTTGATTTGCCGTGGGATTAGTCATGACCCACTGTCGACATCATAGTACAGCTCTCCCTATTGAAAACCCCATTCTCCAAGCTCAAGGCACAAAAGGACAGTGCGAATTTGCGTTAAAATACAATACCAAGGTGTTCCTCCCATCGCAACATGATTCTAGCTTCCCAGAAAAGTCGCAGTCGTAGAAGATCATATTGACCTCAAATGAACAATTTCTGAAGCAGATTCGACAACAGAACCGTGGCCATAGTTAAAAACATGCGGAGTATGAAGACTCACAAGCATCGAATTGTAAGGCAATAGTGGCAATTTTGGACACGATCTGGATCAAATGGAAACAATGGGTTTGCTCGCGCTATTTGCAAGAGACCAATAGAAGGATGCTCCCACAAAACCAGAGAATGGCATCGATCGACTTAGATGCATGTTACGACTTCTCGGTCATATCGTCAGAAGCCGCGACTAGATATGCTTAGAGTAACGACTTACCTCAACAGACACGACCAAGTCCAGTCTCGGCTTGGTCAGCACGAGTCTGTTCTTCAGGAATCTCGGGCGCGATATCACCACCTTCGAACGTGCAATCATCCCATTCGTTGTTGTCATCGTGCATGGTGGTGTCAGCTTCGCCAGGCTGAACACCAGCGTCGACAGATCCATGCGGATTGGCAGAGGATGTGAGTAGTTCCTTGTCTGCCCTCGAACCGCGCTTCCAACCAGGGAACCTGTGGCTCATGCGAGTGCCATATCTCTGTCTTCATGACCGGTCAGACACAGGAAGAGCGAGACATAGCAGACATCTTCCAAGCAAGGAAGACAGGCAACTCACCTGGCGGCGTTCCAGCTTCCACCAATCCTGTCACCAACTTCCTTCCACTCTTCCTCACTGAGCTTGATCTTCTTGACATAAGCTATGGTTAACAGCAGGTCTAGCTCTGATGACTCGCTCCAGGCGAGTCTCTTTGCCTTATCCTTCGGCTTCAGGGTAGAGCGTGTCTTAGCATAAGCTCTCTTCGACTTATCACCGATTTTCGCCATCGTGGTAGTATGGGAAGAGTGATTGTGAGACTCAAAGCTAGATTAAACTTCTAAGAAGATGTGGGTTCGTGGGGTTAGGGGAGAGGGGGGAGGGTGAGGGGGGTGATATAATCTAAGAGAAACACGCACTACAAAGGGCCCCGGCCTAGTGCGGCAGCGCATACAGTAACCAGGGTCTACTGACCCTTGCGCATCGACAAGTGAATAAATCAGAATGTTATTTTCAGCGCAACCTAGCCTGACTCACCTCGTTTCATGTCGGCATGAACGATGTCATCGACATTTGCCGCCCTTTTTTCACAATGGAATAAAGCTGTGTAAAACGTGGTCGATGCTGCTCATCGGAAATCTACCCGAGCTTACTATGTAGGTAGTGGATGTAGCTGGATAACTTTACAGTTGAACTAGCTGGCTAGATGATCATGTTCTTATTCGACCCTTCCTTCAGCCGGACAAAGACTAATCTACTCATACGAGGAGATTGGGCGTTGTGATGGGGGTGGTAATGAGATGAAGACTACTTTGCTTTCAACAGCAAAACAGAAGGAAGCATGCTGAGAGCGATTATATCTAGGAATCTGTTTGATAGGACGCCATATCAGAGACTAGCTACGTGGACCCATGAGCATAGTTAGGTACGTTTGGAGAGTTTGACTTTGAGTTCGTCTCTAAGGCTGAAGTTCTGGACGAGAGCATTGTAAGGGAGAATATGAGTCTTTCTCCAGCTGATCCTGAAAGGCGACCTAATCCATGATTCTAAGAAAGCCTCTATCTGGCATACCAACAAGCACGATCTGCGGCCGTCGACATACTCGCTATTTCTCGAGAGTCAAAGCAATGTTTGAAAATTGACGACTAATGACTGGCTCTATTTACCGCTGCGTTGCTCAAGTTTGGAAGGTAAAGATTTACATAACAAGGAAATCTATATTCGCTGTGTAGCACCTACAGATACGATTAAAGGCAGCTACCTTTGACCAAACTAAGTCTGTTGGATAGAATCATCTATCGGTTGACCTACTGATGCGTTCGAATTTGGCCCTTTAGATGGACAGCTGAAAGGTAGCATTGACAGCTCGATTATTTTACAATTTAATTAAGTCTGGAACAGACAAGATCCTTCAAATGAGGCTATCTGGTATCCCTTTCAGCTCTTGAAAGCTCTGCTAGTCGATCTGAATTGTTGAACCAGCTATCGCAGTCTTTATCCTCTATCCGTCGGCCAAAGGTGTGTTCAGTCAGGGTATAACGAACCACGTGATCATCAGCTACCATTAGTGAAACAGTGAAACCCTACTCGCAGGCTGTAAGAAGGATATGGTGTAAAGACAAGGTCCTTGTACACACTTTCTTTGTAGTTTCTCTACTTAAATGTGGGTTGTTATGCTCCATGCATGTTTAAACAATCCGGCGAATGAGGCTGCTGTCACCTGCAGCATGCCACTAGCCGACATGCAGAAGCTCTCTACCAAATTTGCATCATTGTTGGGAGAACTGTAGAGGCTCCGCAAGCTTCCTTTCAGAATGGCCGGGATCTTTGTCAGTAATGCAGTATGATGGTGGCTGTGTGGCTAGATTATCTTAATGATCAATTCAAACCCAGGATCATGGATTATAAATTTCATCCTTCTACGTGCATCAAGGTGCAAGTTTCTCAGTCACTTCTCCAGATTTCTAGGAATCAACTACATACTTCGTGTCAAGATTGCCCTTCTACCACAGAAAGTCCCATCTCTTCTCTACTCCCAAGCCCAACCATGCAGAATCCAAAACGTGGCAAGGCCGTGCCGACTGACACTCCGGCGTCCAAATTCTTGTACGCCATCCTCAAACAGTTGGATCTTAGATCGGTTTGTACTTCAGTCCAGAAGGGAATACCCCATCTTAATGACAACTCGCTAGGTTGATTGGAACCTAGTTGCCTCTGATCTCGAAATCTCAAACGGCCACGCTGCACGGATGCGATACTCACGGTTCAGACAGCAGATGGAGGGCAACGTTCCATCAACCCGAGCTCCCCGTGCTAAGAAAGACAACACCAAGTCGAGCAAGGGTGGTTTGTCCAGCGAGAACGGCCAGAAGAGTCTTCCATCCCCTTCGCCCGAGCCAGCGGCGAACCAGGGATTTGCAGCTCCCTACGGCGAGCATATTTCCTCCTTGATGATGCCAACTCCTGGTCCTTCGCTCTCTCCTATGATGCCGCCCACTCATCCAGCTGCACGACTACCGTACCACCCTCCTCCCCTTCCTACACCCGAGGTGAAGCACGAGCCTCTGGAGGCTACTTTCGAACCTTGCCTGGAGTCTATGTTTAAGCCCGAGCCCTATGATGAGCATGTCCCATCGCTGGTGGATATCCCTCTGACTACATCTTTCCCAATGTCGACTATCCCACCAGCTGTTGCGCCGTATACTTCTATGTTTGCCAACTCAGGCAACCCGGTCATGTATCCATCTGCATCCGCTCCTCAGCCCGGGCTTCAAGCTGAGTTTCGACCTGCATTCCAGCCCGAGCCATTCTACCACGAGCCCTTCGGAGCTCAGCACCCGAACAATTTCTGGTGGCCTAAGATTCAGCCGGAGCAGGTGATAGTGGGAGAGGATATGGAGATCGAAGAAGAAATCAAGGGGAGCCGCTAGAGGATGGTGATGCTACAAATGAGTAGTGTAGGGTTGGTACTGGGAATTTGGTTTATCGCTGTCCCTATCGTGTTGTATGCTATCATGTTTGACTGCAACTGATGAAGCTCGTGGCCCAAGTCATCATCATGTTTGGTGCGCTTTTGCTCCTCTTCTAGTCGAATTACAATAGTAACACATATCACTGGCAATATGAATTTTGTTTACTCTCTGTAGCAACTGCATCCTTCTGGAACCACAAAACATAAGTGAGGTACTCTGTAATGGACGTGTTACGACAGTTGGTTTGCTGGATGTGATCAAGACCTACCTTGACTGAGACTGATCCTCTCTTCACATCTGACCTTGCTCTGAACTGTTTCCATTCTTTGCAATCCTCCCTCGACAACCACCTTATCAGTTCTAATATTTCCCATTATCCCCACAAGTCATCAGCACACGATTCTTATTCAAACCAATTCACTAGAGTAAGCCAATCTTCATCTTCAGGTCTTCCCAGCCAGCTATAAGGGCGAGGACCAGAACGATTCCCTCACTATTTGTCTTGCATACCCTCCCCAGCAACCGCCCTCCTTTGATTACACACATCCCCTCCTCAAAACAGTCCTTCTATTTGAATTTCCCCATCCACCATACAAGCTATCGTGTCAGACCCAATACTTCAGTCCAACTCACAACCTGACTTCTAGATCTCCAGTCTACTCCACCTCAATCATCATGCCTGGCGCCAAGCAGGCAAAGTCCGAGGATGAGATTCCTCAGCCTGATGCTCAGTTCATTGTCCAATGTGTCATGAACATGACATCTGACAGACAGGCGAGTTCTCTTCTTCCTTGCGTTCTCTCACTACGTATCGCTAAGCATTCCATACAGGTCGATTTGAGCAGAGTGGCCGCTGCCCTTGGCTATACCAATGTTGCCTCCACCGCGAACCGATTCCGCGCCCTGCGCAAGCGTTATGGGTTTGAGCTCGAAGCCACCCAGACAGGTGGAAGCCCCACCAAGATAGATAGCGCGTTGGCTGGAGGCCACGGACCCCTGGATGCTCAGAACGGGCAGGACGGCCTTGAAGTGACCACCCCGACCAAACGCAAGGCGCCTGCGAAGGGAAACCCCCGAAAGAAAACCAAGGCCAATGCTGATGGGGCCGCTGAGTCGAAGAACTCCGATGAAGCTCAGGCTGGGTCGGATGTCGATACCAAGCCGAACACAAAGGGTCGCAAGAAGGGCGCTGCTGCCCGTGCCAAGTCTGCTCCCAAGGTGGAGGTTGTGGTTGCGCCGGAGACCCAAGATGGGCTTGACCTTGGAAGCGATGTCGTTTAAGTGTTCCTTGAACGGTCTACGATACTGGTACGTTGCCTTGCAAGAAGGAACTGCTTGCTTTGGCGCTGATGAGTTTTCGACATATAGGCAGTCGTTGCTGGGGTCTTGGATCTTCCGTTCTTATCTTGTGTTGTTGACTCTTTCGAGGGATTTGCTCCAGCAACTTTGGGGATGGGCTTCGGTTTATGTGCAGTCTTTTGACTTCTATTTCTTGTCATTTATCCACACTGATGGCCTTTGGGGAGTCACGCTGATGCTCTTGGCCTCTGCAGACCAGACTCTTCATAGCAGATTGGAGGATTGATTGATATCTGGGACATGCAATACAAACAGTAGTCGACTGCCATTGCGCCTTCCTTGTTCTGCTCAATAGATTATTCCACTGATAGTCCAAAAGTGGTTTTCTAAAGCACTGAGCCCGGCCTCTTTTGTCCTTGCGTTAGAAATCAAGACCGTGTTCCACCAGTGAATAAATGTCAAGCTGATACTCCATTCACGGTTCCCCCAGTTTGTTTGGACTCGCTCTGTTCTCTTCACTCTTGCTGCAATCTCTCACTCACTTCCCAGGTATCTTACCTTGTTCTCCCCCCCCCGCTTCGCCTCTTCTCATCCTACCAATTTACACTCCTCTACCCTCAACACATTTCTCATCTCCACTCCACTTTCAAAACCTTCGCGCCTCAAGGCATCATCCACCCCTCTTCACCACGACCATACACCTCGAATATCACACACACACACAGAGAGAGATACCCACCAGAGCGATTTCAGCGAAAGATGGCCCCAAACACACCCTCAAAACCGAGAGCGCCTCGCCTCACCGCGGATGATCAAGTGCAGTTCCTCCTTAGCTGCATCCGCAACGCCACTGGCGGCGGCAAGGTAAGTCCTCTATCTCCTCCTCCTCCCACTTCTGGGCCCATTCATCTGGTACTTTTCGATACGAATCCTACACCGTCAACTCCCAGTCCCTACGTCCCATCCCAGCAACACAAATTCAGGGACCAAGTCCGATCCTCGGAATGCCTAATTAACAA